TTTCGCGTGGTTTTTATCAAACGACAAAAAACGAAAGGTGGTTTTTGAAGTGTTTTTGATGGAAAACTATTTAAATGTGCCCAGAAGTAAAAACCAATCATAAAAAGTTGAAAACCACTTGGTTAGTTCGGACGCCAAAAACCAACGCCGAAAACCGAATGCCGAACGCCGGTTTCTGAAACCCGAACGCCGGATGGCTTGATTTTTGGTTTGGGGGAACACCAAGTGTTTTTAATGTTTTAAACATGTCTGAAAAACATTTTTATGATGTGTCAATTGCAATGAAAAGAATTTTAGCCTAAAGAGCCAAGGTGTAAAGGTTGGGTCGGTCTTGATCATAATTATGATCGACTCAACAACACTAAGACTACGGTCTTCGTTCTTGGTCTTCTTTTGGGTCTTGTTCTCTTGCTTTCTTCTTTTGGGCCCTTAACATCACATGTATACAACCTCTCACATGCATGCATGATGGATGCATCCACTGCACCATCCGTATCTTCTTTTCTATCTTCTTTGTCATCTTCCTTATTTTTCTTTTTTCTTATTTTTCTTTCTTTTTGAATATTTAATCAGTATTTCCCAACAATTATTTCAAATATTTTCAAAATATTATTTTATTTAATTAAAATACAATATATATTTCATTTAATTATAGGTCAAAAGTTGAAAACAGTTCACCGAAAAAAGTCAAAACTTGACAAATACTTAGGGACGGAGGTAGTATTAATTATTTTATTAAAATTAGACTAGGGCATATATAATTAGATTAGATTTAATTGGATTATATCAAATTAGACCAGATAAAAAATAACTTTAAATATAACTACAATCAGATCAGGCCCAATTGAATTGGATCAGACCTGATCAAATATATCAAATTAGATCTGATTGGATCAGATCAGGAAAGATCTTCAAAAAATTATTATTTCTAATCAGACCAGGCATATGAAACACAGAATTAATCTTAATAGATTTTTTTATGGTCTAGACCAAACTCGTTGGACCGGTGGACCGATTATTTGGGTGCAGTTTTTATTATAAATGTGTAACTTATAGCTGGAGTGATTAGTAGTTCAGAAAGTTCATGTTGTTGATATTACAGCGGGGAAAAACAGAATAAAATTAATCCGAACTTATAGAACGTTCGGATTTTACAACGTAAAATAAAACAAAGGAAAGTGAAGTCTTCGGAAGGGAAACGCGAACGGACGGAGCAGGAAGACGAACAGCTACGCCGATAGGAACGTCGCCGGAATAGTTTTTGGAAGAAGGGTAAGGAAAGCGGAGTCGCTAGAGCTTTCCTTAAGGTAGTATTGCCCGCCTCCCGCACTGGCAAACGTGGGCAATCTCCTCCCAGGATAAAACCGCTTCGTGCAAGGCCTAAGGCGGTAGAACCGTGCACCGACGAACGAGAATGACGGAAGTTATAGCCGGAGAAGATGATCGGAAATGGGAGAGAGTTGGAAAGTTTGTATAACGCAAAGAGAGAGAGCTTTTTCGAGTAAGTCTTCTCCTGCAGCCAAGCCCTCCTTTTATAGGATGGAATTTTGGCTCTTCGCTGGACCGTCGGAGATTACGAGGCGTCGCTGGCACCCCCCTTCGCCTCCCTTGTGCATGAATGCTTCTTGGATGGCACTTCGTTAATCACGAAGTGTCCACGTGTGTTTAATTCGATCTCATAAAAAGTTAGCCCCGCCACGCTGTGGGCGCGACGCGACGCGACGCAACGCGACCTGACGCGCGCGCGCGCGCGTGCCGAGCCGGACGGACGGCGGCGGCGGCGGTGCACGAGAAATGAAAGGTTTAATTCAATGCCTAAGCTTAAATATGAGAATACGAAAGGTTTAGAAACCGGTGTGGGAATAAGGTATTTACTCTACCTTAGTAACCGGTGTGGGAATAAGGTATTTACTCTACCTTAGTATTCAACTTTGAAAATTAATTTCTCATTCACCCTAGCACCGTTTATGGCGTGTCATATGTCGAGACATCCGTCTTACTTACGAGATTAAACGTCCATAGTTATTTCAAAAATAATTTTGTGGACCCTACCGAATTTATGTCCGAAAAAGTCCAATTTACGTAAAATTTCCAACAATCCCCCACATGAATGAAAATTAATTCATGTAGCTGGCAATAACTCTGAAGTTGAAACTTGCAAGAGTAGGTAGGTTTTATGCCTTTGAACCCACTCCTTGTAAAGTATACCTTCTCTACTGGCTGTTCAGTAGAACGTGATGTCTTTGAACTGTACTTCCGTTTATGTAAACGACGATATACAATACACAAGTTTCAACGAACCATCATTCCGTTCTCATGGGTGTGCCCATTATGGTCGTGGAACACGCATCTGGTTCTGCGAGAGTGTCAGACAGGATCAGCCCGAAATCCTTCTGTTGAAGCGACCGCACTTCACTCTTACATAGGTGATTCTTCTGAGAGTATCCTGATTACTCCACTTGGACCGCTTTGTCCATAGTTCAAGAATCATTAAAGCGTCATGCTATCCTCATCGTTTTCAGGAGTCACTATATCTCAGTAGGAACGGAGGGGTGTTAAGCGGTGATCCGGCTTGCTCCCACAGTGATCGTGCTTCGTTCCACAAGTAGGTTGTCCCATTGAACCCAGGTACCACCTAGGTTGGGTTTTCCTTCATGGGACGTTCCTAGCACAGGGTAGGGCTTTCAGACCCATTCCTACTACTAACTTCTCATGTTGCTCATTGGTTAACCCTTTGGTTAATGGATCCGCTAAATTATCCTTTGACTTGACATAGTCAATCGAGATAATACCCGTATTGAGAAGTTGCCTAATGGTTTTGTGTCTACGGCGAATGTGCCTAGACTTACCATTATACAATTTGTTCCGAGCTCGTCCTATTGCTGACTGACAGTCACAATAAATGCAAATAGGAGGAACTGGTTTTTCCCAGTTTGGAATATCCTCAAGTAAATTCTGAAGCCACTCGGCATGTTCTGCACACTTATCTAGTGCTATGAACTCAGATTCCATGGTGGATCTGGCAATTAACGTTTGTTTTGAGGATTTCCAAGAAACATCTGCACGAGCTAACAAAAAGATAAATCCGCTTCTGGATTTTGAATCCTTTTTATCCGCAATCCAATTGGCATCAGTGTACCCTTCCAGCACGGGTGGATACCTACCATAGCATAGGCTATAATCTCAAGTATACCAAAGGTATCTCATTACTCGGACTATGGCCTTCTAGTGCTTAGCACTCGGATTGCTAGTATACCTACTTGGTTTGCTAATGGCGCAAGCTAAGTCTGGCCGTGTGCAGCTCATCAAATACATCAGACTTCCGGTAACTCTAGCGTATTCTGTCTGAGAATCGCTACTCCCTCGGTGTTTACCAAGGTGAACATTTACGTGTATCGGCGTCTTAGCTATCTTTGATCATCCTTGTTGAATTTCTCAAGGATCTTGTCAATATATTGGGATTGGCTCAAGCTTAGACCATCCGGTCTTCTTAGTATTTTGATTCCAAGAATCACATCAGCCAGTCCCAAATCTTTCATATCGAATCGTGCGTTCAACATGTCCTTGGTAGACTTGACCATCCTATCGTTGCTTCCAACGATGAGTATGTCGTCTACATACAGACATAAAATGACATACCCTTTAGATGTGTCCTTAAAGTATACGCACTTATCTGACTCATTTATCATAAAACCGTTGTTCATCATTACCTCGTCAAACTTATCGTGCCATTGTTTTGGCGCTTGTTTAAGACCGTATAATGATTTCACAAGTTTGCAGACCTTCTTTTCTTGGCCCGGAACCTTAAACCCTTCGGGTTGTTCCATATAGATTCTTCATCTAATTCGCCATTTAGAAAAGCTGTCTTCACATCCATTTGGTAAACATCCAAGTTTCATAAGGATGCAAATGCGATGATCATTCTGATAGAATCTATCCTAGTCACAGGCGCGTAAGTATCAAAGTAGTCATAGCCCTCGCGTTGGCTATACCCCTTGATCACAAGTCTAGCTTTGTACTTGTCAATGGAGCCGTCAGGCTTCATTTTCCTCCGAAAAACCCATTTGGAACCTAATGGCTTACACCCTGGTGGGAGATCAACCAATTCCCACGTGTGATTCTGAAGAATAGAATCAACCTCACTTTTTATGGCTTCTCGCCACTGAGGTCCCTCGGTTGAGGTTACAGCCTCGTGATAGGTTCGTGGTTCCTTTTCTACCAAACAGGTTAGAATATCAGGTTCATTTTCCATTAGAAATGACAGAGTTCCTTTGTCAAATTCTATCAGATATGTTATGAAGTCAAAACCGAACGTCTTTTCAGTTCGTATTCTTTTACTTCGTCTCAATTCAGTCTCATGTTCGACTTCATCATCGTCACCGGAATTCAACTGATTTGGATCATCGTTATCCATCATCTCAGTATGAGAACGTTTGGACAAACTAGCTTCGTTACTAGACTTGCACGGAAAATGTGCTCGAAAAACATTGCATTCCGTGACTCAATGATTGTGTTCTTGTGAATTTCAGGATTATCTGATTTGTACACCAAGAACCGGTATGAAGTACTATTGTACCCGATGAAGATTCCATCAACTGTTTTTGGACCGATCTTCATCTTCTTCGGTGGTGGTGCAAGTATTTTCGCGAGACACCCCCACACTTTGAGATACTTATAGGAAGGTTTCCTATAATGCCAGAGTCCATACGGAGTTTTGTTAAGTTTCTTACGAGGTATTTTATTTAGTAAATAATTACTTGATAAAACAGCCTCCCCCCAATTGTTCTGGGGTAATCCAGAACTAAGTAGCATCGCATTCATCATGTCCTTTAGAGTGCGATTTTTCCGCTCCGCTACTCCGTTAGACTGCGGTGTATACGGTGGGGTTACTTGATGCACTATTCCATGTTTTGCACAAAACACATTAAGCGGAGCATCATACTCACCACCTCTATCGCTTCTCAATGCTTTGATTTTGCGATTGAGTTGATTTTCCACTTCATTCTTATATCGAATAAAAGTGTCTAACGCTTCATCTTTACTTTTTAGTAAATAGATATAGCAATATTTCGTGCTATCATCGACGAAGGTAATAAAATAAAGTACTTATTACCCCCTCTTGAAGGCGTTGTTCGAAAATCACACAAGTCGGTGTGAACCAACTCTAGAGGTTGAGTGTTCCGTTCGATCGTTTGAAACGAACTTCGAGTTGACTTAGTCTCAACACAAGTTTCGCACTTGTGGGTTAAGTCAATACTAAACTTAGGTATGTGTTCCATGTTAATTAATTTTCGGAGAGATGCATAATTAACATGTCCTAGTCTACCATGCCATAAACTAGAAGACTCACACACATAAGCAACGGGATTTTTATTAATCTTTTCATGAACAGTCATTACATTTAGCTTTACAAGCCCATTGGAAATATAGTCTTTTCCTATAAAAATCCCTTTCTTGGACAAAATTAACTTGTTTGATTCAAACACCATCCGAAAGCCGTGTTTGATCAGCAATGACCCTGACACTAAATTCTTGCGAATATCTGGCATATAAAGCACGTCGTTAAGCGTTAACTCTTTGCCTAAGGTCATTTTGAGCTTAATTTTGCCCATTGAACCTCTGACTGGGCCGAGTTGCCCATCCAGACCTTGTCACCAGAGGTCTCCTGGAAATCGTGAAACATGCTCCTATTTGAGCAAATATGGCGTGTGGCCCCTATGTCCACAAACCATTCCCTCGGGTTTGACCCGACGAGATTCACCTTGGTGACGACCGCGCAGAGGTCTAAGTCTTCAAGCACCGCACACATGGCTTCAGTGGTTTCTTCTTTCCCTTTTGTGGCTTCTTTTTCCTACAATTAGAGGAACAATGCCCGGTGATGCCACAGTTGTAGCACATACTTGCAAATTTTGAAATACCACCCTTAGGACCCATTTTCTTCTTGTCCTTCCCGCCATGTGAAGAGCCCGACAGATGTTCTACAACTTTCGCCTTTGCCCCTCCACTTCTTCTAGCAAGCCCCTCCTCTCTGATTCTTAGTCGTGTGACCAGTTGCTCTAGGTTTAGCTCCGTTCTTTTGAGCTTGAGGTTGGCTTGGAAGTCTTCCCACTACCGGGGAAGTTTGTGGATGATGGCCGCCACTTGGAATTCTTCACGGACGCCTACTTTCTCTTCATTGCATTTATTGAAGATGACCGCGAGCTCTTCAGCTTGGGCGACAATAGATTTGCTGTCGACCATCTTGTAGTCCAGCATCTTCCCGACAATGAACTTCTTCGTGCCGGCATCTTCAGCTTGATACTTCTTGTTCAAGCTATTCCAAAGCTCTTTTGCAAGCTTAGCACCGGCATAGACGAGGTACAACATATCTCCCAGCCCTTCAAGAATAATATTGATGGCGAGATAGTTGTTGTGGTACCACGCTTGGTTCACCATTGCCAGAAGGGGGTCATTGGCTTTCATTAGGCTGGGGGGATCTTGCTGCAGGTACTCAGCAAATCCCAAGACGGTCAGAAAGAACATCATCTTTTGTTACCACATTTTGAAGTTCGTGCCATTGAACTTCGGTGGCCTTTGGACCGAGCTAGCGGGCACTGAGATAGCCCCAACTGCACTGGGCGCATGGAGGAAAGGCCCGTTGCTTGCCCAATGAGGTCCAACAAAAGGATTGACCGGTGCGGGGAAACCCGCATTCGGTCCAAAGTTGACCATCGAGGCTGAAGCCATGGTCGGTCCGACAAACGGGTTCGAATTGCGGATCGGGTAATCCCCCGTGGTTTCGAGCCCGGGAATGGGTCGAGGGGCTGACCCGAAGATCGAGTTCGGCATCGAGAAAGACATCATGGTTATGGCCCCCACACTTGACCCGAAGGGCAGTGGTGAGGACGGCACAACCATGGCAACCGAAGAGGTTTCCACCGGGATTTCGGAACTCATCCCATTGCCGGAGGAACCCGCGATGCCGAATCCGAACTCCATCGAGAATACTACCTTAAGATTGTTGATATTATTGCGGGGAAAAATAGAATAAAATTAATCCGAACGTTCGGATTTTACAACATAAAATAAAACAAAGGAAAGTGAAGTCTTCGGAAGCGGAACGCGAACGGACGGAGCAGGAAGACGAACAGCTACGCCAGTAGGAACGTCGCCGGAACAGTTTTTGGAAGAAGGGTAAGGAAAGCGGAGTCACCGTAGCTTTTTCCTTAAGGTAGTATTGCCCGCCTCCCGCACTGGCAAACATGGTCAATCTCCTCCCAGGATAAAACCGCTTCGTGCAAGGCATAGGGCGGTAGAACCGTGCACCGACGAACGAGAACGACGGAAGTTATAGCAGGAGGAGATGATCGAAAATGCACCGCGCCACGCCACGCCACGACCCGACACGCGCGCGCGCGTGTCGTGCCGAGCCGGACGGACGGACGGCGGCGGAACCGCGCGAGGAGTCCCCTTCTTGTTCCTTTCATAAGCTCAATTCAATGCCTAAGCTTAAATATGAGAATACGAAAGGTTTAGAAACCGGCGTGGGACAAAGGTATTTACTCTACCTTAGTATTCAACTTTGAGAATTAATTTCTCATTCACCCTAGCACCGTTTATGGCGTGTCATATGTCGAGACATCCGTCTTACTTACGAGATTAAACGTCCATAATTATTTCGAAAATAATTTTGTGGACCCTACCGAATTTATGTCCGAAAAAGTCCAATTTACTTAAAATTTCCAACACATGTTTGTCGCTTGCATGCNCATACGAGATTGGATAGAATTTCGAACGCGATTATCCAAGGTCAGGAAGGCAAAGTACATGTGGAAGATTAGTTGCAAGAAGTGAGGCTAAAGTTGTTTGGACATGTGAGGCGGTGGAATGTTGACGTCCAGTGTGGAGATGCGAGAGACTTACATTGGTGGGGGATTAATAAAGAAATACGTAGACCTAGAAAGAATTGGAAGAAGATCATAAGACAAGACTTAAAAATTATTGTCATTCATTGAGGACATGATTTTAAATTGGAGTGTTTGGATAACTAGGATTAGAGTAGTTGGATCGACGCATCGGGCCAGAGGTAGATTTATGTACTTGTTGTTGTAAGCTTTGTTTGGAATATACGTTTGGTGCTATTTCTTTTTCTTCGTAAACCTAAGTTTGCTTTTGTCTATGTCTATTTAGTGTCTTAATTATTTATGTTTTATCTGTGCCTTTTCTACTTTAGTCATCTCTTACTCCTTCCGTTGCGAAATGAATTAATCCTTTCGATCAATGTGTAAAATCTCATGGCTTTTAAAATGATCTTTTTTCTAAATTTGTATTGAAATAAAAAAATAAAATTTATATACTTAAAAGTACATCAAAAGTTTTACAAAAAAGAGCTAATATAAATATTTTATTTTATTAAATGATCTATGAAAACATACAAATAAATAAAAGTTTTACAAATGTTGTAATAGTAAAGGATTGCATCAATTCTGGACAGAGACGACATTTTTTAACTTTTATTTTATGCAACTCGAGTTTGTTAGAATAAGTGCCCTTCACTAGAGGGGGTGTGTGTTAGGATAATAATTCAATATTTCCAAAGGTTTGTGAGAGGGAATATTCTAGAGTGTTCTATAAGTTGGGGGAGATGTGTAGAATTCTCTAGAATATTGTAGAATTTTCTAGAGAAGTGTAGAAGTCTCTAGAAATGTGTAGAATAGTCTAAAAGTTTCTAGAATATTCTAGAGCTCTCTAGAGAAGTGTGGAAGTCTCTAGAAGCGTGTGGAAGAATATAGTATTCTATAGAATATTCTAGAACTATGTGGAGTCCTTTAGATTCTTCTAGAATATTGTGAAAGCATGTGAAGACTTTCTGGAAGATTCTAGAGATAAAGCGATGTGTGGAACATTCTAGAGAAGCCTAGTCTTGGTGAGAAGTATAAATAGGAGTATGGATGCCTCATTTGGTAATGAGTGTGGAGGAAGAAGAGAGTGAAGAACCAAGAAGGCTTCTTGAGAGTGCTTGTGAGTGAGGTGTTCCTAATACAAAGAGTGAAGTATGCTACCCGTGTAATTGTAATCTCTCTTGTACATTTTCTCTATATAATACAAAGTCATTTTCTAAAGTCGTGTCTTTGTATTATTGAGTGTGTGTGTGAGTGTACAAGAGTTTGGTTGTGTGAAGGGAAAGAGGTTGAGACTCGCATCAATTCTGTTGGAAAACATTTTCACTTTGACATTTTGCTAATGACAATGTTTGTTTCCTTTTAGGTTTTGATATTGACAAACCGTCGGGAACATGGAACAAATTGAAAAGATTCAAAGAGATAGAAAAAGTTCTTTGAAGAAACAAAAAGCACAAGAAAGGCATTGACGCTGCTAAAGATGGCGACATTGGCGTTTTGAAGACGTATTCTAAATACTTAGGTTTTTATTGTAACAAGCTCATTCAATTTCACTACGTCATGGCTCAAAACAAAATATGTTTTTCATGCATCAAATGAGTGTTTTCATAAATGGTTTTTATGTTTCTAAAACCCATGGTTCTTGCTTAACAAAAACCATAACCATCGGTTATCGGCGTTCGGCTATGGTGTTCGGTTTTCGGCATTGGTTATTGGCATTGATTTTAACCAAATGGTTTTTGGGTTTTTATCCTTGGTTTAAGCTTTTGGACACATTAAAAGGTTTTCCAAATCATTAGTTTTCAAAAACCATAACCTTTGTTTTTTGGCGTTGGTTATCGGCATTCGGCGCTGGTTATCGGCGCTGGTTTTTGGCGTCCAAATCAATCAAGTGGTTTTTAATATTTTATGATTGGTTTTTACTTCTGGACATATCCAAATGGTTCTCCAACAAAAACATGTTAAAAACCACCTTTCGTTTTTGGTCTTTTGGTGAAAACCATGTGAAACGGCATAAACTTGGTTAGCCATGATTTTTACCTTAATGAAGTGGTTTTTAAATTTTTATACTTGGTTTCTACATTAAATACATTATATAAGAGTTTACAACACTTGGTTTTCATTTTGGAGAACTTTGGTTTTTGACATCGGTTTTCGGCGTTGGCTGTCAAACCATGGTTCTGGTCACCAGGCCCAACATAGATGTAGGATCTTGAACATAGATGTCTGGACAGCGATGTTTGGATTTGAACATCTATGTCTGAACAGCGATGTTGAGATTTGAACATCTATGTTTTGGCTAGATTGGCTCACGTCAGTCTTGGGCAATAGGTTTTTGAACAGCGATGTTCATTGTTGAACATCGATGTTTTCAAATGACCGTTGGGCTATTTAAGACAAAATCTTTCCATTTTAGAAAGTCAAACACCCCAACATCGATGTAGACTTCTAGACATCGATGTTTTGATGACCGTTAGCCATTTTTAAAGGAAAGTCAAAGCCAAAACAGCGATGTTCACTATATGAATAGCGCTGTCGGGCTAGATCTCAGTAGATCCACTTTTATTTGATTTCCACAAATCAAGCCAATCAACCCCAATCTTCTCCCAACCGTTGCACCTTGTTTTTGGGTATAAAAAGGGGTCTCTTGGGTCTACATTTCACAACCATTCCTCACACATTTCATAGCTTTACATTGCTTCATTCCATAAACTTTTTACATAGATTTTTAGAGCCATTTCTTGAGTAATTGAGTGTGTTCTTGATCTAAATTAGTTTACTCATATTCTACTCTTTAAGAGAGTTTTTGTTCTTGAGTGGTTAAGTGTTGTGAACACTTTAAGGGAGGTTTGTTCCCTTGGTTGTACGAAGGAAGGGCATATTCCTTCGGGTTGAAGTCTTGGAGTGCGGTATCTCCAAGCAAGTGTATTGAGGCTTGTGGGACTCGAGTTCTCAGATTGTAACGGTTTGTTAAGCACCCGTAAGCTTAACGGAAGTAGTGTAGCTCGAGAGAGTCTCTCGGGAGACTGGACTAGCCACACTTTGTGGTGAACCAGTATAAATCTTGGTGTGCTCCCTTTACTCCTTTTTATTCCGCTCTTTACTTTATCCCTGCGATTTTTATTCTGCGAAAATTTATAAACATTCTCGTGCCTCACTATTCACCCCCCCTCTCTAGTGAAGGGCACCTATTCTAACAAATTCCCCAACAGTGGTATCAGAGCCAAGGTTCACGGAGGTAGAGATACGGGTAGAGTGGGCTTGAAAGATCTCGTGTTGGAGTGATGGCAGCAAGAGTGCCGAAGATGTTCGAGATTCCACTCTTTGATGGGAAAACAAACTTTACGTTGTGGCAGAGTACGATTCAAGACCTATTAGTGCAGCAAGGTCTTGATCAAGCACTAGAGGAGGAGAAGCCTACCTCCATGAGTGAGAGAGAGTGGAGTAAAATTCAGAGGAGAGCTATTAATACTATCCGGTTGGCACTTGCTCCCGAGATTAAGTTTAGCGTGTTGAAGGAGACCACACCAAAGGCATTGTGGGATAAGCTCGAGAGCATTTATGCGTCAAAGTCGTTGACGAACCGGTTGTGTTTGAAGATGGAGTTGTACTCGCTCAAGATGGAAGAAGGAGGTAATCTTCATGACCACATCAACATGTTTAATCAACTAGTATGCCAATTGATGAATGCTGATGACAAGATTAAAGACGAGGAGCAAGCGTTGTTGTTAGTGTCATTACCGAAGTCCTACAAGCCATTGGTGGAGACGTTACTTGTAGGAAAAACAACTCTCACGGTTGATGAGGTGACTACTGCTTTACGTGAGAGTGAGAGGATGATGAGGAATGACACTAACAACACAGGAGGTGATCGCATACTAGTTGCAAGAGAGCGTGGTCTATGGAGGAACTCACCAAGGATGCATGATGATCCTAGAGAGAGATCAAAGTCAAAGGTGCATCGAGATCTAAGTGATGTGGAATGCTACTATTGTAGAGAGAAGGGTCACATGCAAGTAAGATGTCCTCAAATGAGGGAGGACTTGAAGAATCTGAAAGATACGTCACAAAGGAAGAGTGATGGTGACTCCCACAGGAATGTGGTCAGTGATGCTGATGATGGAGATTTGTAGTTGGCAATGGGCGAAGAGGTTGCTAAGTCTGAGTGGGTGATGGATAGTGCTACCTCGATGCATATATGTAGAGACCAAGATTTGTTCGACACCTTGAAGATTGATGGAGAATTTGGTCACTTCAACTTCGCTAATGGTGAGAGGTCGAAGGTCGAAGGTATTGGAAGCGTGAGGATGAAGCTTCACAATGGTTCAATCATAATGTGAGGTACATGCCTACTAGCAATACTAATGTCATATCATTAGGTGCAATGGCATTAGAAGGGTGTAAGTTCTTTGGCACGAGCAAATGGTGCAAGGTGTTCAAGGGGAGACGTTTGATCATGAGAGGATGCAAAAATAAGAAGAATGTTTGCATCTTGGATGGAAGAGTCGTGCAAAGAAAGAGTAGCGGCACTACACCGAAAGTGAGTTTTTCAAAGGATGTGAAGGTCTTTGGAAATATGGATTAAGGGAGGAAATGTTAGGATAATAATTCAATATTTCCAAAGGTTTGTGAGAGGGAATATTCTAGAGTGTTCTATAAGTTGGGGAAGATGTGTAGAATTCTCTAGAATATTGTGGAATTTTCTAGAGAAGTGTAGAAGTCTCTAGAAATGTGTAGAATAGTCTAAAACTTTCTAGAATATTCTAGAGCTTTCTAGAGAAGTGTGGAAGTCTCTAGAAGCGTGTGGAAGAATGTAGTATTCTGTAGAATATTCTAGAACTATGTGGAGTCCTTTAGATTCTTCTAGAATATTGTGAAAGCATGTGAAGAGTTTCTAGAAGATTCTAGAGATAAAGAGATGCGTGGAACATTCTAGAGAAGCCTAGTCTTGGTTAGGAGTATAAATAGGAGTATGGATGCCTCATTTGGTAATGAGTGTGGAGGAAGAAGAGAGTGAAGAACCAAGAAGGCTTCTTGAGAGTGCTTGTGAGTGAGGTGTTCCTAATACAAAGAGTGAAGTGTGTTACCCGTGTAATTGTAATCTCTCTTGTACATTTTCTCTATATAATACAAAGTCATTTTCTAAAGTCGTGTCTTTGTATTATTGAGTGTGTGTGTGAGTGTAGAAGAGTTTGGTTGTGTGAATCGGGGAAAGAGGTCGAGACTCGCATCAATTCCCCAACAGGGTGAATAGTGAGGCACGAGAATGTTTATAAATTTTCGCGGAATAAAAATCGCAGGGATAAAGTAAAGAGTGGAATAAAAAAGCGTAAAGAAAGAACACACCGATTTTACCCTGGTTCACCACAACGTGTAGCTAGTCCAGCCTCCCGAGAGACTCTCTCGAGCTATACTACTTCCGTTAAACACTCTGTATTTCTCTACAGTTATGTATGGAATATTATTTATAATGAATAAAAAATGTTTTAAATGTTTTAAATTATCAGGATTACCAAATCAATACTTTAGTCCGAAAGGGGATGCAGACCTGGATGGATTGGGGTGTTACAATTTATCAATTGAATTGTGAACTAAACACTTTGCATCAAAAAGGTCAAAGTATGGTCTCCTATTATAATCAATTCATCACACTCTGGAATCAACTTTATGGTTGCAAAGGTCCTAAGGGTGGATGCACCTGCGGTAAATTGCACGCATACAGAGCATGAGAAGACTATGGCGTTCTTGTTGGAGTTGTGCCCTTATGGTCAAGTGTTTTATCGTTATTCTATCATGTATAGGCAGATATAATATGTTTATGCATCTCATGCTAATGTAAACAAATATTATATTCCTAGATTTATTTTTAAAGCTGTTTACAAGATAGTGTTTTTCTGCTGATAAGACTAATATCATGAAATTAATATTTATCTGAATGTCCATAGTCGAGTATTAATGAGAGTGGGATATTGTTAATGAGTGTGTGTTGGATGTTTGACTTAGTCTCATAGTCAATAATGGAGTGTTCGCATCCATACATTGGCATATATTATCTAGAGATAATAGGATGTTGGACTGACCCATCTTAAAGATGTTGCTTGAACTTTTAGTTCATGCTCTAAGCATCTTTAGCACGAACACGGGTGTAACTATTCTTCGACTTGAAGTATTACGTTTTCTGCATATGTGAACTCGCATGCTTTGATGCATTGTCCTAAGGCATATGAAATAAGGATGGTATACACGCTTTGTTTTGGGTATGGCTTATCGCGTATTCAGAAACGTAGGTTACGTACATAGGATTTGTCATTACTCTTTTTAATAGATTAATGTCTTGTAGGGCCCACTAATAAGTTATGACTGAGGAAATTTCATGGCCATATTGAGATTCTTTTATGACATCTGTTCCTATCAGTCAGACTTGACAAATCAGTGAATGGCTTAATGGATACAAGCTAGATTTTATAATCCCTTGCATTAAGTCTAGACATTGAAATAAAGGGATATAGTTACACCGGGTCTGAGTCGTGGAAAGGTTTTAACGGTGCTGTAACACCCTCCGTCCCGGAACCTGGTTTGCCGCGGCCCAACGAGCTGGAGAGGTTACGTAGATGGGTTTTAAGACCATCTACAGAAAAAATCCTTGAATTCCTTTTGTATGACAAAAGAAAACCCTTGATATATTTATTTAAATAATCATTGGGAAATAAACTCCCATAAAAAAATGTTATGTTACGTTGCGGAAGCCATAAAAGAAAACAAATGATAAGTCTCAAACGAAGTAAGTGCAACAAAAGTGGGTTCAAGCCGAAAACAGTTTGTGATATTAAATGAGTATTAAATCATGTCCCCACCGTCACCTATCCGCCACCTCGATATCCCAATCATCCAGGTCAAGCTCCATGATCATCTCGCCTACCTGCGTATAACAACAACAACGCTATACGCTCAGCATAAGCTGAGTGGTAATCTAACAGTAGAACGCATAGTATATCTCACATTGATATAAACATAATCATACATGTACTAAAGTACAGGGTACCACATACAATTTTGATAAATAAGAGTTGCATAATTATAAACAATACAATGCCAAATGATTTATGATGCACGAGTTAAACTGCGCAGGGACCCCCTTCCTTTCGATTATCATCCAAAGCGGTGATGAGCTGAGGAAACCTTAGTCTCCTGAAGGAGATTAGAAATCGTGGGTGGTAACTGAAAGCCTAGTTACCATGTACGTACACAAGCCTCCTGATGAAACCCATTGGACAGTGAAGGCTCCGGGACGGGCCCGCAGAAGAGGCGCACTAGGCCTGACCTCTTGACGCGGTTATACAATGGTATGCCATGATCCTACAACATGCTTCTAGGATGTACATGATGATATGAATGACTTGCTTTGAAAGAATTCCAAGTTCAACCCATATATGTATGTTTGATTCTATATTAGTTTACTTCCAAAAACGCCTTGTTCCTTAGCATGATGGTCCTGGGGTTCAGAACTGACTGATAATCAACTATTGACTAATGATAATCGATTATCCGGCATGGCAGTTCCTGTCCCAAGGTTCTGCAGCCCCTGATAGTCGATTATCACTTTGTGATAATCGATTGTCAGGTTGGCCGGATTCAGAATCAAAGTCCAGAGGGGTCTGATAATCGATTAACACCTTGTGGTAATCGATTATCAAGTGGAACCGTTCTGAACTTAAAGTTCAGCAAGAGCTTATAGTCGATTATCACAGTGGTATAATCGATTGTCAACCTTTGCTGCAAAAATGGGAAATTTTAGCGTGGCCAGATAATCGATTGTCATGTCTTGATAATCGATTATCAGAGCACACAGGTTCTTTCTTTGTCTGTCTAATTGTAACCAGTACGTTGAAATTTTGAAATAAACGTTTTATGTTTTTACGTGAAATAGTCTATGAATTTAAGGGATTTCAAGGTGATTCATATCAATAAGTTCGTAACCGAAAATCTAAATAACAGAAAGGCCATGATAATGCGAACTCACGTAAGTTTAGCCGGGTAATCCTATGAATATAACGATATGAATATACTACGAATTCTAAAGTTAGAGGGAAATGTACTCACCTCTAAACGAAGGGGTTGACGGACGAAAATGGGGTAAACGAACAGATGAACAAACAGACGAACGCTTCACGCGCAAAACTTCTTCCATTCTTCCTTTTTCTTCTCCTTCTCGCCAGAAACCTCTCCTTGTCCTGCTGCCTTGGCCGAAACACACCAAGAGAAGGGGAGAGGGAGAGATGAGTGTGTGGATGTTAATGAGTGGGGTTACAAAGTGGTGAGGGAGATGGAGGGGAGAGGCTATTATATTGATAGGGAGTAATGGGAAATAATGGAAAATAAAGAGGGGGAGTAAATGGGGTGAAGGGTGGCATGTGGAATGAATAAGGGGGGGGGGGGGAGGAGTTACCTCCCTAATTCATTCCATTGTGTAAATTCTGACCTGAGCGGTACACGCTTTTCCTCCTAAACTAGTCCGGATCAAGATCCATTTGCGTTTCTGGAATGAGACAGGCAAGACGAATATTATGGCGTGATTTCTGAAGACTTAATTTTTCCCAACCTCGGTCCGAGTTAATAATTAATTAATTAAATTAATCAATTCCAATAGTCCGGGTTACAGGGCGTTACAGTTATCCACCCCTTAAGAAAATTTCGTCCCGGAAATTTACTTGATCATTGGTCACTAAAGAGATGTGGGTAACGCGTGCGCATAGATTCTTCGTTTTCCCAAGTTGCCTCCTCGACGGAGTGACTTCTCCAAAGAACCTTGACCAATGGAATGGTTTTGTTCCTTAACTATCGGATCTCGCGGGCCAGAATCTCAACCGGTCGGCTCTTCCTCGTATGTGAGATTCTCATCGAGAGTGACCGTGTCTGCTGGGATCACATGAGAGGGATCTGACCGATATCTTCGGAGCATAGACACGTGGAACACGTTGTGAATCTTACTCACATCCGATGGTAGCTCAAGCTTGTAGGCTACAGGTTCCACACATTCAGTGACGGGGTATGGGCCTATAAACCTCGGAATGAGTTTTCCCTTCTTGCCAAAACGTAGGACTTTCTTCTAAGGAGAGACCTTCAAGAAGACCTTGTCCCCAACCGCGTACTCAATGTCGCGCCTCTTTAGATCTGCGTAGGACTTCTGCCTGTCCGAAGCCACCTTAAGTCGGTCCTTGATCACTTGAACCTTCTCCTTGGCATCACGAACTAAGTCAGGTCCTTCCAATTTCCTTTCATTGAGCTCCGTCCAGCAAGTAGGAGTCCGGCACAGCCTATCGTACAGAGCCTCGTACGGTGCCATACCGATACTAGCCTGATAACTGTTATTGTA